GACTGCGCGGGCCTTGCCGCGGGACGTGCGGAGGGCGTGGGCTGCTGCAGGCGCAGCGGAGGCTTTGGTTTCAGCCACGCCGCCCTCCAGCACAAGCGCAGAGTAATAAGCGCGTGCCAGGCGGTGTGGGCAGGGCTGGCTTTTAAAACTTTGATCTGCCTAAGGGTTATTATTTTTAAAAATGGTATGCTGAGATATACTTAGTTTCATAGAATTACATTTCATATAATTTGTAATTGATAGTTCCGTGCAGTAATGATTATAATGAAATTAAGATGCAACAAAAATGTAGCTGTCGTTGCATGAAGCTAAGTCTGTATCAGCATATTTTCATTTTAACTAATAAATTATATGAAGTAACGACCAAAAAGGAATGCGTGAAAAAGTTGGTGAGTCTTCTCCATGTAGCTGTTGGAAGCTCTCCTATGAATCAGTCCCCTTTAAGACACTTTTAAGCATTTGTAAAGATCATACAGCCCACCGCCAGCGAATTAATGGCCGTGGGCTGTGGCCTCAGGCTCGTGGACACCTGCGCAGTCGGTGAGCAGACGGGAGGTCGGGGACCCCGGGGCTGGGGGCTGAGGAGCAAGTGCCGAGGAGAGAGTCTGTGGCCCCCACACACTTCTAAAGAGGGCTACATGGGATCTTTGGTAAAGGTACCAAAGCGTGAAGGAAATATGTGGGAATGCAGGTGAGGGGAGAGACCGACTTGACATTCCTCCAGGAAGCAGAGAAGGAAATGCAGAATCCGGTGAAAAGTAACGGCCCTGAGCACGGAGCGTGAGCACCGCGCGGCGCTGCACGGCGAGGAAGACTGTGAGCTGTGGCCTGTGCCCCACACTCCAGTCTCGCAGGACAGCAGGGTGCTCGCCCACAAAGCCCTCCCACGCGGCCCGTCCGGCCAGCGCCTGCTGAGCTGGGGCTGTGCGTCCTCACAGGGGTTGACGTGGGTGGCTGGGACTAAGCCCTCCCACGCGGTCCGTCCTGCGGCCAGCGCCTGCTGAGCTGGGGCTGTGCGTCCTCACAGGGGTTGACGTGGGTGGCTGGGACTCAAAGGCCCAGTGTCATTGGTCTTTGGTGTACAGATGCTGGACAAGTGACTTCCCTGGGCTTCACTTGAACTGACTGGGTGGAACAAATACTTGTTGAGTGGGTACAAACTTCCAGGCATGGGTCTGAGGTAAGATACAACGGCAGGCGGCAGTCAGGGACCGCTGGAGCACTTACTCCGAGAAGTGCTAGTCCAGGGTGTCACAGATGAAGTGCAGGGAGTGCCGCGGAGCAGGTAAGGCCGAGAAGGGAGCAGAGGGGTTGGAGTGAGGAGGAGGAGGCGGATGAGTGGCAGCTGGGCACCGTAGCTAACGCGCAGGCCCAGGCTGGGGCTCGGAGCCCCAGTAGGCAGCCGTCTGAGCTCCCACTTTGCAGGCCAGGCCGGCGCTGTGCGGGACTGGGCAGAGGTGGGGCAGCAGAAGCTTTCGTGGATTCAGGCACTGGGTCTACTGTGACACAAGACAGAAAGATCCACCGGTGTGTGTGGTGTGGGTGGGGACAAGCAGGCTGTAACAGGGCCACCGGCCAGAGGCTTAGACAAAGAACCCGTTTCTCACTGACCCAGAGGACAGCAGCCCGAGACCCAGGGGTCACGGGCCCGTCTCTCGGCCTTCTGCTCTGGCTCACAGTGGCCGCCTTGCGTTCTCACGGCCTTTTCTCTGTTTCCTGACGCCTGTGGATTTGCAGTGGACTCTACTCAGCCCGCAGTGGAGAGGAAGGCAGATGGTCCATGGCTGGGCGAGTGGGAGGGGGAAGTGGCCCTTTATTAGGATTGGATCCTTCAGGGGACCAGAGTTTGGCTTTTCAGTTTAAGGGTTTGGGGGTCGGTTTTTAACAAGATTCGGATGCCTGTGAGACACCCACGCAGCTGTGCAGACCAAGCAGTTGTGACACAGTAGATCCGAGATGGAGGTACCACTGTGGGCTCCGCCCCGCAGACCACTCCGAAAACCGTGAGCCGGGTGAGGTCACCATGGGGGTGAGGACAGAACAGAAGAGAGCCCTGCGTGACACACGCCTGTCATCCAAGCACGCAGGGAGGCCGGGCAGGAGAAGGCACATTCTAGTCCAGCCTGGGCAACTTGGATTTTAGCAAGACCCTGTTTCAAAATTTAAAAGGGCCCGGGGATGTGTCTCAGTGAAGGCCTTGGGCTTAAGCCCCAGGCTCGCAGGAAAGGAGAGGGGAGGGAAGGGGAAAGGGAAAGGAACGGGAACAGCTCAGAGGTTCGCGCTGCGGTGTTCAGTGGCTGAGCAGCAGAGGAGATGGGAGGAGCTGGGTCCAGGTGCCGGGGCCTGGGGCACAGGGCGGCAGCTCCAGCACCGATAGGCTGACTTCTGAGCTCACTGGGTAACTTTGATCTCGGAAATTTTGGTGGAGTGGTGAAAATGAAAAGCGGATTTGAGTTTCAGTGGTGAAGGCGAAGGCAGCACACAAGGACGACTTTCATTGTTATGCATTTGTTTTGAGGAACAGACTAAACTTGTGATCCTCCTGCCTCAGTCTCCCAAGTGCCTAAATTACAAACCGTGCCACCCACTTGGCCACAGCAACAGCTCCTCGGGGAATCCCAGAGGAAAAGCGGGGTGCCACGGGTGCCACGGGGGCTCGCTCAGCTGTTCGCATGACGTTTGCCATAAAATGGTCTGGAAAGGGCGATGTAGCTCAGAGGGCTGGAGAGAGAGGCCGTATCTGGGTGAGCATGCTTCACACCGAGTGCCAGTCACAGGTGTGGCAGCCATGCCTACAGGCCCGGAGAGGGACACTTGGAAGCCGAGCCCCGTGTGCGGGCAGGGGCCTTGGGGACTTGGGCAGTCAGCGAGAGCCGCTATGGGGCCAGCTGCCCTCTGCACACCAGTGCCCTGTGGACAGCGAGAGCTGAGCCACTGTTGCTCTGTCTGCAGCCTGATCTTCCCTGGCGTCCGCCTGGCCTCCGACAGCCAATTCAGCGACTTCCTCGACGGCCTGGGCCCCGCGCAGCTGGTGGGGCGCCAGACGCTGGCTACTCCTGCGATGGGTGAGTTTGTCCTGTGTTCTTCTGGAGTCTTGAAAGCTACATTCTCTAAATCTCATACAGACAAGCAGACAGTATCATCAGCAAGGATAAAGTATCACTTTTCCTACTGTAGTTTCTAATGGTTTTTAAAGGAAGACGCTGATAAAACTTTGAGTGTATGTAAGTGTCATAAATACTGGGGAATAGCGGGAAGCCCAGGCTGTGGCGCCTGACTCTCCTCGCACCGTAGTAAGTGTGCTCGTCTCCCTCCAGGTGACATCCAGGTGGGAATGATGGACAAGAAGGGACAGTTGGAGGTAGAGATCATCCGGGCCCGCGGCCTTGTTGTGAAACCAGGTTCCAAGACACTGCCAGGTGAGAGCGGGGGGTTTCAATTTGGAGACTTTGTTTGGCTGGAACCTCGGTTCTTAATCAAATCAAGGAGACAAGTCATACCTGACTGGTCTGGGGCCATCGTGGTTGGTGTGATTGTCCTGTGCTGTTCTGTGTCCCCGGTGGGATATGTAAGGTATTACATAAATACGGGTAGGACGGACCACTGCCAAATAGAAACTGCCAAGGTGTCACACAGTTCACTTTGTCCCCACGTACCGAGAGCCTCTTGCTTCCCGTCAGTGGGTGCTGTGTTCTCCGGTTGGTGAGTGTTCTCCTGAGGCGCCGAGGCACTGGCGTTGGAATAGAATCAGTGAAGGCCCCGCAGCGGCAGCTGCCCCGTCCGCTGGGTGTCCTTGTGGCAGGGCTGAGCCTCCTGCTGTGTGTGGGGAAAGAGAGGCACTGTTAAGCCTGGGGCACACATTTCGCACTGAAATGTCACCAGGCCTGGCACAGCGACTGCAGAAATCGCTGGATGTGCTGGATGAAGCCACTCTGAGAGCTTCGAAATCAGTCTCTAGCCTTGGCACCTCCACTGACTCCTAATCCCAATCTCCTGACTTGTGTATCCTGCGGAAAGTGAGATGCCGTGTAGACGGCTGACTGTGCAGCCCGGCTGTGTGTCTGTGGGGCCGTGGGGCCCGCCGGCCACTGTCTCGGGAGCGTCGTGACTGGCAGCGTGCATGTGCTCGTGACTTTCACGAAGCATCTGTCAGATGGGTTTTAAGCCCCAGGATTCATAACTAGCTGCCTCCTCCCACTAATCTGAACACACAGCATCAAGCCCACCTGTGTATTCCCACACCCACCAGTGAATAAACCCCTGGAGTGAAGGCATCTGTGGGCATGAACAAAACAACACGCTTCCGAGCCAAGCGCTGGGACATGAGGCCACCATGACGCTCCTGGTGCTTCCTGGAGAATTTTATTTACTGCTGGGATCTGGGTAACCGGCTGGCAGCACTGCTGTGTTGCACCCCTGCGCTGCTCAGCATGGCCCTGTGGGGACCGACAGGCCCAGATGCGGCTTTCTGCCCTGATGGCCAGCCCACTGCCGAGGTCAGTGCAAGCCAGGTGCTCCAGCCGTACGCACACCTGTCCTGCCTCTGCTCTCTCCCCAGCACCCTACGTAAAGGTGTATCTGTTAGACAACGGAGTCTGCATAGCCAAAAAGAAGACAAAAGTGGCAAGGAAAACGCTGGAGCCCCTGTACCAGCAGCTGCTGTCCTTCGAAGAGAGCCCACAGGGGAAGGTGTTGCAGGTAGGTGCTCACTCCCTCAGCCCACGCGGTACAGCATCTTCCTGAAGCCAGGCCTTGCATCTGCCACCCTCGCAGCTGACGTCCTCTGAAAACCCCACCGCAGTGGCAGTGCTGTTTCCTACAAAGAGAAGTGTGGGCCCCCACTTCCGTCACACCCACTCCGGTCTCCTGGACCGCGTCTGACCCTACCCCCAGCAGGTCTTCCCATGAAACTTTGGAGTCAGGTAGTAAAGACAGCCGTCCCATTTACCAGGACTATGTAACTTTCCTGTCTTCTTCTTCTTCTTTTTAATACTGGGAGTTGAACCCAAGGCCTGGTGCATGCTAGGAAGCATTGTACCACTCAGCTCGATCCCAGCCCTTTTTGAATTTTAGTTTGAGACAAAGTCTTGCTGAGTTGCCCAGACTAGACTCAAACTCAAAATTCTCCTGCCTCAGTCTCCCAAGTAGTCTGGGATTGTAGACATGTGCCAATGTGCCTGGCTTAACTGGAGCCTTGATGTCAGAAAGTTAACTGAAAGCATTTTAGTGTTGTAATGTATTTCGCAAGGTTTTTGTTGGAGCCGTGATTATACTGACATTACTCCCTATTTTGCTGACAGATCATTGTCTGGGGTGACTATGGCCGCATGGACCACAAATCCTTCATGGGAGTGGCCCAGATACTTCTGGATGAGCTGGAACTGTCCAACATGGTGATCGGCTGGTTCAAACTGTTTCCCCCTTCCTCCCTAGTAGACCCCACTTTGGCCCCTCTGACGAGAAGAGCTTCCCAGTCATCTCTGGAAAGTTCAACGGGACCTTCTTACTCTCGTTCATAGCAGCTGTAAAACTGTTGTCACAGCAACCAGCGTTACAAAGACCCACAGGTCGCAACCCCTGGTAACACTGCATGCTAATGTCGTGTCTTCTGAGCCTGTGTCCAGGGAGCCCGCGTCCTCCGAGGAAGCTGCACACTCTGTGCCCTAGCGAAGGTCCTCAGGCGATGAGCAGAGCAAGCAGGGCTGTCAGGTCTGGTGTTCGGTGACCCTCGCATTCTGGTCCCATCTGAAGCCATGAGTTAATCTCAAAGAACCAGTCGGTTTCATGCAACAAAAGCCCTTTTCAATGGCACCTTTATATTTTTATCGTTCGTTTTTCTTCATTTGTCTGACCCAAAGCCCTGGTATGCCACAGAAATGGAGCTTTCCAGCCGTAAAGCCGGGTCACAGGTCCAGGAAGCAGCAGGTGGAAAGCAAGAGACCAAAGAAGCCGTCGGGACCGAGTGTCTCCCGCCCCAGCCGGGGACACCACGTGCAGAGCGTCCGGCCACAGCTCACATGCTAATGCCGAGATGCGCTGGGCTCTGGAAACCAAACTCTGTGGCTACCTGTACTGAATGAAACTAAAGACACTTTTTTTGCATGGACACAGATTAGCTGAATACTTAAATTATTTTCTTGGGGCTGCAACTTGCAAAAAAATAAAATAAAATCAGCCATTTTCAACAGTTTATATTATTTTTAAAAATAAATTTCACTAGTGCATGGTTTTAAAACTGGGAGAGAATGTGACAGGGTGATATACAGACATACCATGTTTATTCTTTATCAGTCTGTATTTTGGCAGACATTACAAACAAAAATACTTTCTAGAAGATACTTAAAATTCTCTTTATGTGACAAATAAATATAATATATTCAATTTATTTCCATGTTAAATTTACAAATCTTACGAAGTTCACTATGTACAAATTTTTCACATCTTCCTTCCTTTCCTCTGTCTCATTGTTCTTTCTCTTACAGTCTTTTATTTTCTTTATCCCTACCAGAGTAAACCTTATTCTAAAAAAAACGATGTTTTTGATCTGACTCTCTCTTCTACCCCATGTTTGATTCAGAGCTGTGGATGGTTCTGAATTTTTGAATTTCTCAAGGGAAGAAATCTGTTTAAGAGCTCTCTTTATTTCAAGCATGTTGGAAAGGGTTTTGCAACATGGCTTGGGAGTACAGTGAAATAAATCACGGATTTGACAAAGGAGATATTTGAACTGTTGCAGTTCATTGTACAGGGCATGGTCATTTTTTTTCACCTTCAAAATTCAGTTTACAGAAAAACCCCAAGGTCATGTGGCCATCACAACTTCTAACAAATTTGTTTTAGCACCAGCATTATTCATACAAGGGTTAAAGTATTGTTTCTTGGAGGTCTTAGATTTTGTTTGTTTTTTAATTTGTTAAGACCTTTTTTTTTTGCCAGTTTCCATTTACTGTGAATAGACACAGCTAAAACTTGGAGCTGTAAAACACAGGGCGGTTTATCAATTCATTTTTCTGTAGTAAAATTCAATTTTTCACAAATTATATTTCTAAAGAAATATAGTAGACATAATTTGCAACAATTTTAAAACTCCAATTTTTACATGACTCAGAGAAAGTCGCTGTGTCTATGAATAGCTCTTGCTTGATGCCATCACCGAAAGTCTCCAGTGCTGTTTCCTACAGAGAGTGCCCGAGGTGGAAACTTTTGCCTCTCTTTGTCCTGGCTGCTCTTCCTGTCAGAAGTCTCTGTTCCCTCGGAGAGGAGGAGTCACTGGGTCACGCCTTCAACCACCTGTATCCCTGGGATTTATGCATGCCTTGATAGCGTATTCTTATGGATCGGTTTCAGTTTCTTGCAATAATTTTTGAAATCCACATATATCCCATTTGTTCAAATGAGAGCCATGCATAAAGATTACTCTTTCTTTTAAATTCAGCGCTGACCATTCAAAACTGTCATGCTTGATATGGTGCAGAAGTTAAAAGGAGTATCACTAAACATGCCTTCTCTTTATGAACTTCACTGAAACTGTGTCTTGACATTCTAGGTGTGTGACGGCCCAGGCAAGTTTGTCCAAAGAACGAATAAAACTTTATTGAAATCATTTAGACACCTGTGTACCAGCAACAGTTGATTTCATAGACCTAGAGTGTCTGTGCCACCCCTTAGAATAAACGTTCACCATTTTCCTGACCCTAAGAGGCAGTCGCACAAGTTTTGTGTGTATTCCTATACAAATTATTTCTAATTTTAATTAGAAGGACATGACCGTAAGGGATATTTGTACATACTTGTCATTATGCAGTATTTATTTAAAAGTCGATGTGTTTTTTTTTAATTTTCACACGTCTGCGCCTCGACTTGTGGTTTAGTTGTGTAAATAGCACTAAGCCAGTGATCACTGCTGCCCTGTACATAGTGTATTTTAATGTAAAGGGGATTCCAGTCAGGAGAAAAAGGGCAGATGTTTCCTGTAACAAACACCAACTAATGTAAGTCAACTTCATTCTGGTGATGGTGTTTAACACTTTAAATAAACCATTTTCTTTATACACGGTGTCTGCAGTGCTTTCTCTGACGTCTTGTCTCCCTCAGCACCCCCGTGACTCAGATGGCAACATCCTTCACCACATCACTCCAAGACTGACATCAGGGCACCGCAGGCTCTGCAGCCCCAGAAGAGCATGAGCAGGATTTCAGGGCAGCCCTGCCTGTCACCTTACAGAGTCACTGGGAGGCCCCACGTTCTCCTCATGCAGACGTGTGCAGTGTTCCTGTCCCAGCTGGCTCCTCTGGGACAGCGGAGGGAGGAGACCCCGTGGCCCTCTAGGTTGTTCCTCAGCGGGTGCATGGAGTGGCCTGATGTCCGATTCTTAGTGATGAAGATCTAAGCCCTACCTGGCTCATCATGGAAACAGCTATTTCCTCCAAGTGTTATGAGCTGGGTCCCGTCAGGTCAGGTGGAAGCCGGGTAACACGGTGACAGGATTGCATGCCTGTGCTTGAGCCCAGGGCGGACCACATGTGGGGTCAGGAGTCCCAGGCTCACACGGCACAGGAGTGCACGTCCAGTCTCCCCACTCCGTGTGGCTGAGGTTCAGAGGTGTCCCTGCTCTTCCAGGAGAGCTGGAGCCAGGGGTCTTGCTGCAGGACAAGGATGTGCCCAATGCAAGTGTAGACTCCTGAAGGAGTCCTTGGGGTTCCCTAGGACAATCTTGCAGCACCCAAGGACCTGGGGTGGCCCTCCAACCTCTGCTCGGCAAGTGGTTAGAGAATTTCAGTGCAATGGATCGAGAGCTTAGCCTCAATTTCCCTTCTTATGTTTATACTTCTGGGGCCTGAGATCCAGTATAGCTCTCTCCTTTACTAGCTGCTTATGAGCCCTTCATTCGGAGTCTGTTTCCTCTAAGGGGAGCGAGGAACAATGATGGTGCCTGAGCCACGGGGTGCAGAGTGTGGAATGGGGTGAGATAGGAAGGGGCTTGATGCCACGGTGGGCCGACAAGAGGACCAGCCCTTGCTGCAAAGATGGTTGTAATTATTTCCACAGGTGCTTCTGTTTATTCTTCTCTTTCCGGGCACTTCTAATTCCTTCGACTACTCATCACCTGCTAGGAATCTTGTCATCTGGCCCATTCTGCCCAGAATTAAACAAGCAGCTCCAGATGAGCAGTGGCCTGAGAAGAGTACTACAGACTTGACCTCCAAGGGTGCTTCCTGACCCTGATAGCCACTGTCTCCTGCCTTCAGGGGAATGGCCTCCTCATCCTGGCTCTGTGGGTTTTTATTTTTAGCTAAGCATGGATATAAAAGTGTTCTTGCTAAATATTTTTTTTTTATTTTGTCCAAAGTCATTGTGTTTTTGTCTCATCAGGTGGTATATGGTTGGCTTTTGTTTTTAATGTAGTCTGATAGCTCTGCCCTTTTAATTGGAATATCTAATTCATTTACATTTAGTGTCATTACTAACATAGCTGGTTTTACATCTAACATCTTCATATTCATTTCCAAGTTTTCCAGTTTTACTTTTGGTCTTCTGGTCTTTTCCTGTCTTTTGGGTTAATACATTTTTTGATATTCCATTTTATCACTGTTTGCTTTGCATTGGTTTTTTTATTGGTGTGTCTAGGTAGATTATAAAATATATCCTTAACCTATTACTGCCAATTTAGAGTTGATATTTACTATTTTATATAAAATGTGAGATTACAATAACAAAATTATTCTACCTATCCTTTTTGCTATTGTAGTCATTTAGTTTGCCTACATATGTAATAAAATGTCATAATACAATGCATTATTTTAAAATAACATTAAATACTCAGTTATATTTCACAGAAATTAGAAGATATTCTATTTCTTGTGGTCTTCCTGCCTCAGCCTCTCAGAATAGCGAGATTACAGATGTACACTTGTGTGCCACCAAGACCGGCAACATAGTTGTTTTTCAGCAGAGCAATATGATCTAGGTCAGTGATGCGAACCCTTCAGAACTTGCAGCGATGCGGGCAGCCTGCGGCACCGTGCGAGCCAGAGGCTCCCCCGGCCCGTCTGGGTTTATCGTATCTGTGAATGGTCGATGGCAGCTGGAGAATGGTTGGCCACAGAAAGGAAGAGAAGGAAAGGAGAGCAGCAAGAGGGACAAAGTGGCCGGGCTGGGACCAAGGGGGCACTGTGGGGACCGTGACACGGTGTGAATGGAGCCCGCGAGGGTTTGTGGGCGACACGGAGTGGGCTCCGGATGCGGAGGTCGGCGGAGCGGTGCTTCCTCTTCCGGGACGAAGTAGGAAGTCCGGGCAGAAGTCTGCAGGCGTCCGAGAAGCAGCGGAACTCGCACTTCGGGGAGTCAGGCCGAGGGGCAGCCAAGCAGGAGGCAGGGACTCGCACCCCCGCTGGGCACGCAGGCGGCTCCATCGGACACTGCTGACGGCGACAGGACGGAGCGGGTCAGCCCACACGTGGCTCCTGAAACTCCCGCACGGCGATGGAGGACTCGTGCCCGGATCAGCAGCTCGTGGGAGCCACAGGGCCGTTTCCCAGTCAGTGGGCGCGGGAGTGACCCGGGCGTCGGGCAGTGAGTGCCGTCCTTGCACGACAGCCCCGTAGGAGAGGACAGCACGGAGCTCTGAGGACGGGCCCCACAGGACGGCGGGAGGCCAGGGCACAGGGAACTGGCTCAGGCGGGCTCCCTGTGCCAGGTGCTGCGGCCGGGAAAGGTCTTCAAGTTCCCCGCCAAGGGGCCGGGCGACCTCTGGGGGAGCAGCGGTTGGGACAGAAGAAGCCACCCTGGGGAGGGGCCACGGAAGCGGAAGCGGAGGCCGGGCTGTGGGAGAGGAAGCCGAGGCGACAGCAAACTCACTGCTCCACACTGCCCAGGCCCACCTCTCAGCTGCGCCGCCCACGGTGTCCCTGGTGGATTCTCCTTGCCAGACCCAGACGCCGTTTTCGGAGCTGGGGAGAGGAGTGGGTTCCCCTTCCCGGGACTTGCCTCGGCCCGGGGGACGCGCTGTGTCCAGCTTTCCAGTTACGTTCCAGTCAGATGGCAGGTGGAATGCACTCCTCTTTCAGTCTTCCCTTTGGCCCAGGAGCGGCAGGCAGCAGGGTCCCAGGGGCACCGGCCCAGCAGACCCTGTAGAGGGTGGGCTCTGCACAGGCATGGGCAGGGCCGAGAGATGGCAGGAGGCCATGCATGCTGGGCGTGGCTCTGGCTCTCGTGGACACTGCTGCGGTGGGTTCCTTGGCTTGCACTTGGGTCTCCTCCTTAGGTCACCCCCGTGCTGTGGAGATGCTGCGGGTGGTAGCTCTCTGTAGCCCTGGACCAGGCCGGGCTGTAGAGGACAGACGGCTTCTTTCTGAAGCTTGGGACCGGCCCTCCTGAGGTGGCATGCAGCCCACCATGTCCTCTTTCTGGTTTTGTGACTTGAGTCCCATATTCCTATCAGGCTGTCCTTGCGGGGCCTGGAAAGGGTGTCCTGGGCCTGCTCTTCCGGCCTGGGGTTGAGAGGGAAACTCACCACAGCTCTGCAAATCTCTGCAGCACCCCGTCTCAGGAGGTGAGAGCAATCACGGTCTGAAAGTGTCCTAGGGAAAGCGCGGGAGTGCCCTGTGGCGTGGCGAGCTCCTCAAAGGCCACTTTGTGTTCACTGAGCTTCCGTGGTCCCCACGCTGTCCCCAGCTGTAATAGAGGCTCTTTGGACTATTTGTCCATTTTGTACCATGTCCCCTTTGCTCCTAGGCAGGGCCCAACAGGGAGGGGCTCTGGTCACCTCAGGTGAAGTGACGTTTGTTCTCCTGGCCAGTACAAGGCTTCCTGTCCTGCCTGGGCCCCTCTCCGAACACGGCCAACCTCCTGCCGGCTGAGTCTGGTGTCAGGGCTTGGGGGAGACTTTGCTCCGAGGGCTTCAAAAGACCTGGTCCTGATGTGAAGACAGACAAGGGGCTGGGAGCTGTGGAAGGGAGAGGGTGCAGGAGGGGACAGGGCCCCTTTCTGAGTCTGGAAGCCACAGCTCCCGTCTGGCATTGGCGCACAAGGGCAACAGCCGGTCCTCCAGATGGGTGAGCCAGGCTGGGGTGGCATCAGCTGTGTGGCCTGGAGAGGAGGGGCTGGGTCATGTGGCCTCGCAAGATGGGCCAGGTCCTGGAGCTGCGCAGGCTCAGACCCCAGGGACAGCAGCCGGTGCCCTGGGGCTATGGGTCCCAGGATCAGAATGAGAGAAGACCCAGCACACCTGCCAGACCAGTGTCAAAGCACTTTGCTCTTCCAGCCTAGGACAGGACCGCCACCAAGGGTTGCTAGGAGATGGGCCCTTCTCCCCGAAGCTGGAGGGGTGGTCAGGGGAACCCAGCCTGGATTAGTCTTGGCGTGTGGTGCTGCTGACTTTGGACACTGACTGGGCCTGGCTTGGGTCCTTACCAGCTCTCGTCCCCTCAGCAGGGACAGTGCCCTCAGGCCGTTGTGCCACTGCCAAGGCCTGGTGGCTCTGAGGCACAAGGCCAGGTGAGGACAAGGCTGCTGTGTCTCCTGCTGGCAGGTGGGTCCTCGAGGGCTGGCAACACAGAGTCGGGGCCGCCGGAGGGGACAGCACCTGGTTGCACTGGGGCTGTGGGAGGTTTGAGGAAAGATGAAGACGGGTCACTGCCACTTTTGCAGCTCCTCACTTTCTTCCTAGTGCTAAAGAAAGTGTAAGTCCATGACCTCGTGGGAGGATGATTGTGAACATCTGATATGATTGTTGGCGTGGGGACCTTAGGTCCAACAGCTTGGGTCTTCAAATCCGCCCTGCCTTGTAGGAGACCTACAAAGGGGAAAAGGTGACCTACAAATCTGTACAGATGTTGCTGACGGTGCAGTAAATCAGCATGACCCAGCACGCTCATCGCTCAAGGACAATTCTGGTCCGTGTGTCGCTAGAGAAAGGGAGGCATCAGCCTGGGCAAGGGAAAGAGGAAAATGGCATTTTGGGTTTGTTTATTTTTCAGTATGCTTATTTTTTCACATTAGAATAAAAGTGCAATAAAAATAACATATAAACAAAGATGTTTACTGTAATTCAAAAGTAGCCCAGAGAGAATTGAGTCGCGAGTACCAAGTCCCTGCGAGGTGTGGGATTGCCATGCACAGCCAACATGGAGCCTGAAGATGCAGGAGCATGGCAAGCGAATGCCAGGCTGGGCCTGACGAGCGACTCCGGCAGAGACTTAGGGGACAAAGAGTGACACGAACACTGTTCAGGGCACATCTTTAAATAAGAAAAGCAAGGTGAAACCACACATTTTAAACAGCTTCCGCATTGATTTCAGGCTCTGTTTTTCACTGATCATCTAAGTGTGTTTGCACCTGTGACACCAAGGATCCTGGCACGGCCTTTTCTTTCTCCATGGTGCCTAAAGTCTCGGTGCATCTCCAGAGTAAAGACACCATGTGCTGTGGGAACGTGCTGGGCACCACAGAGCCGAGCAGCTGGAGCCCAGCCTGAGGGTAGGTTAGAGAGGACGTGCATAGTAAGGAGACCACAGGCCACATCTCTGACACGAGGCTGAGGCCAGAGGAGTGCTTGAGTTCGAGGCCGGCCTGGGCTACATAGTGAGACCCTGCTTCAAACAAACAAACGAGAACAGGAAGGAGACCTGACCCAGCCAGGTGACCTGTGGTCACATTCTGGACCAACAGGAGAGAAGATGAGTGAGTTCTTCTCCAGCTCCCCAGAGCTCCAGGTGAGGAGACCCAACTTTGCCCATCTGTGTCTGAGGGAAGCCTGTGGTTTTAGCACTCACCTGATTTTGCCTTCTCCACAGCAAAGTCCATTTCACGATGTGATTTTATAAATGAAGGCTCCATTTTCTGACTGAAAGAGGCAAAACATTCCACCTGTCCTGACTGTGTCTCAATGTCCCCCAAAGCCTCATGTGGTCAAGGCTATTTCTGCAGAGTCTGAGTGTGGGCCTGAGGGCTGCCCACCCTACGTAGTCTGAATAAGATGAAAGGGGCAGGGAGATGCTGTTGAGCCTCTTGTTGCCTTTGCCACCCCGTGGGCACCATGAACCGTTTCTTCTCTGTGTTTGCTCCTTCTGCCACCAGGGACTGCTGCCCCTCTGCCATCCTGCCTGGGGCCAGCCAAATACGGACTGAAACCTCTACAGACTGTGGGCCAAATAACCCCTTCCCTCTAACCTTGGGTGTCAAATATTCTGTCTCAGCAAGGAGAGAAAAGTAACCAAGGAGCACCCTTCTGAGGACTCTTACCTCTAGGTCACCTCCACCCCATCATAAGCTGGAATCAAGAAGAAGGCCACCTGGGCCGCCTCGCAGACACTGACAGCCCACCCGCCCACCCCACAGGGCCTGGGCCCCGAGAGCCCCAATGCCTACAGAAGCTTAGGTTCCACAGACACTGGCGTGGCATTTGCCCACGGCTCGCAGTCCTGCCACTGTGGAAACACGGAAGTGCTGCCCTGCCATTGCCTGCACGGCTCATCCCTTCTGGGCTCTCCGCTTCCTCCTGCACTTCTCTTTGCACGCAGGGCCCTCCCTTCTCCACAGGGCACAGAAGAGTCTGCAGTCCAGAGGTTTCCCAGTGGTGGAAATGAGACGGGACATCCCGGCCTGGGGCCCCTGAAACTTTCTCTCGTGTTTCAGGCACACCTGATGCTTGCACACTGCGGGTCAGCTGTTCTCCATCCAGGGCACTGCATTCTGATGAGGTGGAGTGCAGCATCAGGCAGTGCCCAGAACTTTTCAATTTTGACACACTTTGGATTTCAGCTATTTGGTGGTTCTGGTTTATTTGAGACAGGATCTCACAGTATGATTCAGGCTGGTCTTGAATTCACTGTGCAGCCCGGGCTGGCCCTGAACTCATGGTGATCCTCCTGCCTCAGCCTCTAAGTGCTGGATTTACAGGTGCATCTGACACCTGGCTTGATTTCATATTTGGGGACGAGGGATATCACTGCCCTGGCTCTGAGGACGTGGCTTGGTCGAGGCTGGCGTGAGGGCTGATTTGTCTCGGCTCTGCAGACAGAAATGAAGTGCCATGACTAACAGCGCTCCGGAAGTGACGTGTGCGGAGCAAAAACAGGAGGGACAGCTGTCACCTTGTGGTTGTTCTGGGGCAGCTGCGGGTCCATGGCTGGGGCCTGTGACAAGGACACCAGGATGATACCACTGCTTGGTGAGCAGCGCCAGAGACGGGCACAGCCTCTGGGCTCTGGTCACAGACACTAGGCTCGGCTTCCTTCCTGCACCTGGAGAGGTGCAGCAGACTGGGTTGAAGATGGGGGCAAAGCGGCGTTTCCTCTGCCGTTTTACGAGTTCTCCGTGGTCTCAGAGGTGTCTCAGCAGCCTTGTGTGAGGAAGTGATCTCCAAGGTGGCTCGGGGAGGACAGGAGAAGCTTCTTCCCCCTGGTGCCTTCTTCAGCTGCAGTCAGGACCTCTGAAGGTAACCTGGCTGTCAGAGCCCGGCGCTGTCCCTGGGCCTCGGCCCCGGGTCCTGAGGTCCCTGCAGGTGCAGCTGCCACTGGTCCAGGCCAAGGTCTAGGCACAGAAAACGCAGCATCCCCACTGGGGGAGTGCACACTTGGACCTGGGGTGTGGAGCTGAGCTTGGGGGCCTGGGGTGCTGCTGGGAGCCACTGAGGAACACTAGGGGCAGCAGCCATTGGAGCCTCAAGAGTCCCCTAAGGCATGAGGTGTCTTGGCTCCCGCCGGGAATTTGGGGGGCCCTTCCAGGACCCACACAGGAAGCGACTGGGGAAGTGACTTTCTGGTCAGCTGTGGCTTTTGAGGGGGCTGCCTGGATCTGAAAGGAAGCAGAAGCTCTTGGAACACCCACCCACAAATCTAAATCTCTTTTCCCAAGCTAGATAGTGAGATGACTTGACGTTTTTCATGCTTAAATTTAGAACAGCTCACAGATCCTGAACACCACGTCACAAGTGGCACGGCACAGTTCCGACTCAGCCTCCTGTGACTCTGTCCCCAAGGAGCACTTCCTCTTTCCCAGACAGCATCTTGAGTGGGCTCACGGACACGAGGCTGGGGACGAGGCCCACCTGCCAGGCCCCACTGCCCTCCAGTCCCAGCCCCAGGACAGCCTCCCCAGACTCCTGGGGTCCCAGAGCTTCCAGGGGAGGCCGGGCTGTGTCGCGTGGCGTCTGGTGGGCAGGGCACCTGGAGACTGCTGGTCATCGTGACGGTTGCAGCTCCACTGTCCTCACTTCCTGCCCGTCACAAGCCTACAAGATGTCTCCCAGCCACAGTGCACAGCTGCAGTGCAGGGTTGGTGACTCTCCCAAGGGGCCCAGGGCACAAGGCCGGCGTCTGGGGACCCCAGGCCTCGAGACCCCTGGGTGTCAGCGAGGACACCACGGGAAACGAAACCAGCCAGGCCCACAGAGGCTGGACCCACACTCCTGTCCGAAGTCTTGAGCAGTGGAACTCGCAGAGCTGGGTGGTTCTGCAAGTGGGGGCTGGGAAGGACAGAAGGAGAGGCTTCCAGAGCCCCTTTCCCACTGTGGCACCACTGGGAAGCAGCACTCTGCATTCTTGAAAACTGCCCAGACTAGTTTCGGGGTTCTCACTACATGGACACAAAGACCCCACTCAGTTCGCCATGCTCCCCTGTTTCCTGTCGACATACTGGACACCCTTCAAAAGAAACAAAGTGTTAAAGAATTTTAAAGTTCACTTTTGAGAAAATTGCTGTTGATCTTAGAAATACAGGTCCAATGGAAGGGGAAAAGGTCAAAGGGAGCCCGTGACCCAGGGTGATCCAGCCGAGGCCCCTCCCCTCCTACCCACGGGAATACCTGGCCCTCCAGCCCTGATCTGTTCCTCCTCCCAGGCTGCGGGGGAGCTCCTGCAACCCCGATGTGTCCCCCAGAGGACAGGCGGGGGAGCAGCCGGCTGTCGGATCTGCGGTGTCCTGGCTCTGGGACACAGGTGAGAAGCACACAGAGGAAGCCAGACACGGAAGGGGCGGAGTCCGCGCTCCCAGCCGCCTCCTTCCCCTCCCGGGTGTGGAGTGAATCCCCAGCTTGCAGCGTGGTTTCCGGTGGACAGGAGCTCACACCGAGCACGCGGATGCACCCGCCTGTCCACTGCAGGGCCCAGGGACAGGACAGGGGACGAGAGGGGTGCGGCTCGGGGGAAATAGGACCCTTGGCTCTAGAGGCCCAGCGAGCCTCTCCCAGGCCAGGCCTCGGTGGTGCGGGGAGGCCAGTCCAGGGCCATGGGCTGGTCTGGAAACAGCGGCGTCCTCACCAGGACAGCAGCACATAGTGCCTTTCGCTGTACACTGCCTGCCAGGCTGAGTGCAGGCCAAGGGCATGGAGCAGGCAGTCAAAGCCTCAAGGCTCCAGCTGGATCCTGTGCTCTGCGGGATGTGGAAACCGAGGCGCACATGTGCGTTGTGGCTCCTTGGGCTGGAGCGCACTGGTGAGACAGCCGAGACCGTGCTGGGCAGTGAGCCGGCCAGCAGTGTCCCACTGTGACGCAGGGAGAGCCGTGTACTGACCCTTGGCAACCGGGCTTCTTCCTGGTCCAGTCTGTATCCGGGCTGGCCGACAGTGGAGCCTCAGGCGGGGGATGGAACTGTGCCAGCTCCAGGGGACAGCAAGGCCGTCTGCTGAAATCAGGCCTGCTGGGGGCTCAGATGACACTGAGCTAACCTCTGCATCCTGCGGGCAGGCCCTGTGAGTGTTCCAGGCCCAGGTTGGGGTGCTCCTTGGTCCCCGGAAGCCCCACCTGACAGGGTGCAGGAGCCCCAGGAGGAAGCTGGTATTCCCGGTACCAGGGGGGCCAAGGCTCTGTTGTCCCAGTCACTTCTCCCGTGAACCCCAGTGTGGCAGGGGTGTCTTCCTGACCTCAGGGAGGGTCACATTCTCCTGTGGAAAGGGCACAGTCACCAGCTTGGCGCAGGGACCCAGTACCTCTGA